AGACACAGCGAGAGAGGGAACACAAGCAGGGGGAGTGGGAGAGGGAGAAGCAGGCTTCCCGCAGAGCCAGGAGCCTGACTTGGGGCTCGATCCCAGGACCCTGGGATCATGACCCAAACCGAAGGCAGACGCTTAATGACTGAGCCACCTAGGCTCTCCTGGAAAAATTATGTCTTTTAGTTCTGAGAATTTTTCTTCAGTTATTTTGTTGGTGGGATTTTCCCCCTCCATTTATTATTTCTCTCCTTTTAGAATCTCTGTTAGTTGGATGTTCGATATCCTGGATTAGCATTGTTGTTTTCTACCTGTAGTTTTGTGGGTTTTTTTATGGCTCTGCTTTCTGAGATATTTCATAGATTTTATCTTGTATCTCTTATATTGAGTTTTTAATTTCAGCTAATCATGTTTTTAATTTGAGTGAAATTTTAAAAAGTTTTGAATGTTACCTTTTAATAAGGTACCTTGTTACCTTGTTATTTTATTTTATTTATTTATTTTTTAAAAGATTTTATTTATTCCAGAGAGAGAGAGCCCATGAGAGGGGGGAGGGTCAGAGGGCGAAGCAGACTCCCTGCTGAGCAGGGAGGCCGATACAGGACTCCATCCAGGGACTCCAGGATCATGACCTGAGCCAAAGGCAGTCACTTAACCAACCGAGCCACCCAGGCACCCCAGTTACCTTGTTATTTTATTTGGTTGTCTTGGATACTCTGAATTCTTGAGAATATTGATTTTGGGGAGGAAAGCTTTTTTTTTCTTCTTGCATTGATGAATTTCCTATAAGTAGCTCTTTTGTTGCTTTGTTTTCATTTTGTCTTCCACCTTTTCTCAGATACTCCAAACTCCTTGTTTTCTGCTCATGTTGAGTAAGGGATGGAGGACCGACTGGAAACTGTGAACTTGTGAATGGGACCTGTTGACCCCAGGCTTCACTGTAGAATGTTGGCAGGGCTAATTATTTGAGGAATCTCTGATAGTGTCTTTAGATCTTTTTCTTAGAATCCTTGGATTCTTATAAAAGTCTACACTCATTTCATGCCTGGAAGCTGAAGGCCTGGGTGCCAGTGTTCTGGAACCCAAGTGAGGGAAAAGTGTTTACCTAATTTGTCTGTTTTCAGTGTACCCTTACCTCAGATATGTTTGGTTGTTCGCCCAGCTCAGAGACCCTGTTTTATCCTCTCCAGGGAATAACTTCTAGTCTTTCCCTAGGGCTGGGGAAGAGTGGTTGCCCAGTTATGCAAAAGGGGGGAAGTGATTTAGGAATCTGAATCTTAAACTGACGTATAACCTATGTTCAGCAATTTTTCTCCAGAGGCGCTTGGTACTGAAAATCCTGAGTAATAAAAGTCAGGTTAGTTCTTGACTTTTCCTTCTGCTTGCATAGGATTTAGTTTTCTCAGATCTGCTATGTTTCAGGCTACTCATCCATTTACTTTCCAGCTTCCCAAGTGTTTCTTTTTCTTTCCTCATTCTGTTATTGTAGATTGGAGGCTTGAAAAATAATTTCTAAAAATCTCTGTATAGTCAATTTAGAAGAGATTTGGGGAGGGGGTGAAAGAAGATGCAGGGATTCAATCTTTTTTCCTCTTTGACTTTCGATCTAGGACATCAGCTCCAAATTTGCTTTTTGTGGTGGAGTCCTGTCTTTAACTGAGACCTCACATAAATAAATAAATAAATAAATAAATAAATAAATAAATAAATAAATAAAAACTAGATATGAGCAAAGCTACTCTGTTTTGTTTTTTAAGATTTATTTATTTGAGAGAGAGTGAGAGAAAGAGCAAGTGTGAACACATGAGGTGGGGGAGGGACAAGCAGATTCCATCCATGACCCTGCAATCATGACCTGAGCCAAAATCAAGAGGTGGATTAACTGACTGAACCACCCAGGCACCCCAAAGCTGCTCTGTTTGAAAAGGCAGTGGGTGCCTGTGGTTGCACTTCCTCAGTTCTCATCTTGTGCCTTCTCTACCATGAGAACCCCCTGCAAGGCATGGTTTGTAAACTGCTGATTTAGGAGTTGAACATGATTTATCCTTCTACCAGATGTTAGACATTTGAGTGAAGTTTATGGCATTATGGAAGGAGCATTTATTTATTGCTTTAGAGATTAATTTTATTGCTCTCCATTGCTCAAATGGTGCAAGTCAGAGAGAAAAAAACCAATCTAAAATTTTGTGAATTAGAATAAAATTAGACCCTGGACCTCCTTGCAGACAGACTTTATCATTGCAAAAATAGCTTTAGAATGCTATTCTTTTTTTCAGTTGAAAAGAAAGTGCATAAATTTACGTGAATATTAGGCAATATTTAACTATGCTTATACATTTTGATAATCAGGGGTATTGTAAACTCAGGTTTACTTTTAGAAAGCTACAATTCTATTTTATACTAGATTGTTATTAGATTCAATGTTTTACTCAAAATTATTTACCTGAATATATGAGTGAGAGGAGGTCTGTAGGGGCAGAAGAGTATTTCAAGCTTATTCTGCTGGGGAATCATTATTAAATTAGTGCATAATTGAGCTTCATGTTTATGCACAGTGTAGCCTTTAAAAACATTTTTATTTCCTTCTCCTCCACCTCTCCCTGGCACAGACCATCAATTACCTGATGAAATCGTGGAAGAATGTGGAAGTATTTGCACACTGCAGGTCACTCAAAGGTCCAGTGGGGAATGGACACCAGGACTTACAAATGCTGTTAAATGAAATATGTATTTTCACATGTCACTAAGGTGACCCAGTGTGTTTTTTAATGTAATAAGAAAAAAATAAAACAAAAAAACTCCCTCATGAACAGAAGCCAAAAAAATCCTTTACTAGTGTAGAGAGTCAAAATGAAGGAAGTGCAGGTAGGTCTCTTCAGAATTGTCCACTTGAATCTGACCTTCTGCTGTTATGTGTTGACACCAGCAAAATTTCACAGGGGACTCAGGCATCATGCTAAAATTTTTTTGACAGTTGTGCTATGAAAGGATTCGTCAGTTTTATTTTCAGCCATGAGACACCTTTAGAAAGCAGAAACACGCCCCAAACTGTGGTGAGAAACACATGGTATTTCGATTGGTGTTGCATATTGGAAGGCGTCTCAAAAACAATGAAAAAAGTTGTCCTGCTTGTGGTCTCTTTTGGCGGCAGACTCTGCATGGGACATGGAACATCTCTGAGACACATTTAGTGGAGCACTGAGAGATGGACAAACAGGTGCCTGTGGAAGGATACCCTTTCAACCTGCTTACAGATGAGTATGGAAACAAAAGAAAACATCACTTGTAGAGCTGTCAACTGTAGAAAAGGAAGAATCCTGGGAAAACCATTTCTGGCAAAGTATTTGCTTTGATGACCGTGCAAGTCACAAGGTTGCCTGTGAGCACACAGGGGATACTTGGTTACATGTGATCGCAACAGGGTGTGTGTGCCATGGCCTCAACTTGCTTCTTGATGACCTCATGAAGCTGGCCTTTCACCAAAAGGATTCCAAGAAGAGACAAACTATTGTGAAACTTGCAGGAACCACTCATTGCTGCTGTCTTCAAGGAGAAGACAGGGGAAAACATGCAAAGAACTAAATCAAGACACTGAAACTGAGTTGCAAAACCATTGATCAGAGTGGATTATATGCTCTTTGGTGGTATTTTGAGAAGATTGAAGCAGCTCTTCAAGCAAATGCCATGCTTGAGAGGTAGCCATACCTCTTTTTCCTGAGGTTTCTATAAATGTTTATTCTTGTTTTTGTTCTCTTTCGTCTTTCACAGTAGACCTCTCACTGTGGAATTTTGAGCGAGACCACGTTCAGGGGGAGAGAAGGCCTTTATTTGTGAGTGGCCTTGGGGAGGATTGTGACTCCAGGACCTTTGATATTGGAAGAGGAGATTCCCTTCCCTGCTTCTCTTCCTCTACCTCTGCTTCCTTCTCCTCTCCTCTCTCTTCCCTCTTTCCCCTTTGCTTTTTTCATGTTTTGAAGCATTCTTGCCCCTTTAAAAGCCCACCTTAGTTGGATTCTTCTTCAGTGCTCCCTGATCTGGACCAGTGTCCCTGTGTGTTTGACAGTGGAGGCAAAATGTAATATGTGATGTGTAATCACCTTATAAATGGCCAGGTGGTCTAACAAGGTGGTTGTAATTCTCTTACTGTCCCCCCACCCCCACCCCACGGGCTTGTTCTGAGCTCCTGTCGTCATCGCAACTCTTGCTTCCCTGGCTCCAGTTGTATGTCCATCTAGATCTGGTCTCCCAGTTTCCCTTCTCATGACTTATATACTCTCTCATTTCCTCAGAGCCTTCTTAGTAATTTTGGTTTGCTAAGCACATTGAAGCTAAGGCATTAATGGCTAACAGATTTGATGTTAACACATCAGGGATATTCACATTTTAACTGGAGACTCCTCAAACTTCAATATGGAGCCTGCCAGTGAAATTTCAGGCAGCATGAGCAGTCAGTGGAAGAGAAAATGAGCCTTTTCCTGGTGCTTGTGCATATGGATGACTTCTTACTCCACCCATTCAAGAGATGGGCCTTATTGTAATGTGTACAATAAGGCTAGTGAATAAAATATTAAACTGGGACATGAAGGGTCGGGGAAGGTTTGTGGTTAGGGGAGCCAAACAAGGATAAGGACATCTTTTAAATAAAAGTTAGGGAAAAAAATAATGTGGTTAAGAAATAAAGTACAAAATATGGGTACTTTCAATCACCCATGGAGTCTCTCTTCTGTTAACATTTCCCTGCCTCTGGCTCTGGTAAGGAGCAGGCAAATACAGGTTAAGCAAATATAGACAGCGAGTCATTGAGCTGGGAGTGATTTCCATGCCTAGAGATCACATGGATCCTCTTTTCAAATCCTGCAGTACTGGAGGTATTTGCTAGCAGCTAGGCTTTTGTGTGAACCCAAGGAGAGAGCTTTTGGATCTCTCGTCTCAACAGAGTGGCTTGGCCAGAGAGGCCACTTTTCCTTGTGGATGTGTCCCAGTGTGAGCAGAGCTTTCTAGAGAGGATGCCCTCCTCACCTGCATTGATCTTCATGGTCATCTTCTTCCTGGAGTTGTTGGCTGCAATGCTGCAGAATGGCTTCATAGTTACTGTGTCGGGCAGGGAGTGGGTGCGACGCCTGGTGCTGCCCGCAGGTGACATGATTATGGCCTTCCTGGCCGCCCGGTTCTGCCTGGACAGGGTGGCCATCCTGAACAACGTCTTGACCTTCTTTGAAATGGACTATTACCACATACCCTGGAACTTCATCAACACTCTCGCTTCCTGGCTCACTGCCTGGCTTGCTGTCTTCTATTGTGTGAAGATCGCTGTCTTCTCCTACCCTGTTTTCTTCTGGCCGAAGTGGAGGATTTCTCGGTCAGTGCCCAGGCTGCTGCTGGGCTCCCTGGTCTTCGCTGGTCTGACAGTCATCTCATCAGCCACTGGGACTAGAATTCTTATGCAGATGATTTCCTCCCCGAGTTCCCAAGGAAACAGCATCCTGGCTGATACAGTACAGCCCTTCTGTTGGTGTTTTATTCTACCTCATGCAATGCTTACATGGTCAGTCCCATTCCTCCTGTTCTTGGTGTCCACGCTCTTGCTCATGTTCTCACTGTGCCAGCACTTGGGGCAGATGAGGGACCATAGACTGGGCCCACGTGATCCTAGTACACAGACTCCCACCCTGGCCTTGAAGTCACCTGTCTTCTTCCTTGTCTTCTATACATCATATTTCCTGTCTCTGATTGTTGTTTCTATGAAAATCACAGCCTTCCAGAGTCACTGGTACTGGGCCTGGGAAGTGGTGACCTATGCAGGCATCTGTCTGCACTCCAGCATCCTGGTGCTAAGCAGACCTAAGCTGAGAAAGGTCCTGAAGACCAGGCTTTGGAAAGCTCTGGACAAAGGCTGGTCTGTCTCAAGTTCTCAGTATCAATAATCACTATCTGTGGACAAGCCCATGAGTGGCAAGAACCTTGAAGTTTGGGCACTGTCCTTCTCTCTTTTCATTTCCCTCTTTCTTTCCTACTCCTTCCATGCCCTATTAATTCTTTTTGCACCCCTCTCTGTCCCTGCCATTCCATCCACTCCTCCTAGCACCCACTGTGGGTCCCAAGCCACCCTAGGCTGGGATGTTGGCCTCATTGCCTCATAGACCTCTCATACCCTCTATATGAGCAGCCACTGTAAAGCTCTCCAAGCATCCTTTGGGTCAGACTGCTTTATGGAGACCTGTAATGGTTGTCAGTTGTCTCTGTGGTCAACCTGAAGTGTTTTTATTAATGGTGGCATAGATTGTCCTACACCATTCCACACACAACTTCCCTCCTCACCACTGTTCTGCTGTCAGCTCAGGCTCTCCACTCCAGCCCAGTAAAGATTCTTTCCATCTCCCCACATCTCCATATCTTCTTCACTCTAGCCTGTGGTCATTTGGCCCATCTCGAACTTCCTTCTTTCCTTTGTCTGCCATTGTCCATTCCCTTCTTTTGTGCCCAGCTTATGACTGATTCCACCCATGGAGTCTTTTCAGTTTGATCCCATGGAAGGCTGAGGGTGTATAGGAGTTTCCCACCATTCTAGGCCCTGCCCATGATATTGCATGTTTGCTACATGTTGAATTAAAAGGAATTGTCTGATGTGAAAATGCTTTTAGGTTTTGGCCAACAGAAGATAAGAATGAAAACAAAATAAGTTTGCTACTGTTCTTAATTTTGATAATCCTTCCCTTCCTGTCTGCTCACCCAGGAGGTGGATCCTGAATGCCAGTGCCTAGGATGGTAGTCTCCAAATTGGGGTGTTTGCATCCCAGAGTTGTGTGCACAATGATCCACTGAATGTGGAAAGAAAAGTGTGGCAACTCCAATTTCCACTTATTTTTGTCTCATCCTTTTGGTTCCTTTTTTTGTGTATATATTTTATGATGTACAGAATGTATTAGTAAAGTACACATGCATGTAGTTAAATAAATATGCATATAGTTGGATTCATGTCTTAAATTTGTTTTGCTGATGGAATTAATTTTAAAAACGTATGTAGACCAAAAGACTAGAAAAGGGTTGGGTGGGAGCACTGAAGGCAAGAGCATCAGCGGTATCTGTCTCCACACACCACGCATCTGGAAGCACCTGGAAGACTGCCTTTCCATGTCTACTGTTTCCTGGAACAGTGGAGGTCCAGAACTGTACTGAATGTCTTGGGTGGGGAGAGGATGGTGATGTGACTCTTACGTCCTGCAACATGTTCACAGCCCTTTGAGTTATGCCAGGCCTAGTGGGCTTATCTCAGGACAACCTTTTTTTTAAAAAATTTTTTTATTGTTATGTTAATCATCATACATTACATCATTAGTTTTGGATGTAGTGTTCCATGATTCATTGTTTGTGCATAACACCCAGTGCTCCACGCAGAATGTGCCCTCTTTAATACCCATCACCAGGCTAACCCATCCCCCCACCCCCCTCCCCTCTAGAACCCTCAGTTTGTTTTTCAGAGTCCATCGTCTCTCTTGGTTGGTCCCCCCTCCGATTCCCCCCTTCATTCTTCCCCTCCTGCTATCTTCTTTTTTTTTCCTTAATATATATTACATTATTTGTTTCAGAGGTACAGATCTGTGATTCAACAGTCATGCACAATTCACAGCACTCACCATAGCACATACCCTCCCCGATGTCTATCACCCAGCCACCCCATCCCTCCCACCACCCCCCACTCCAGCAACCCTCAGTTTGTTTCCTGAGATTGAGAATTCCTCATATCAGTGAGGTCATATGATACATGTCTTTCTCTGATTGACTTATTTCACTCAGTATAACACCCTCCAGTTCCATCCACGTTGTTGCAAATGGCAAGATCTCATTCCTTTTGATGGCTGCATAGTATTCCATTGTGTATATATACCACCTCTTCTTTATCCATTCATCTGTCGATGGACATCTTGGCTCTTTCCACAGTTTGGCTATTGTAGACATTGCTGCTATAAACACTGGGGCGCATGTTCCCCTTTGGATCCCTACATTTGTATCTTTGGGGTAAATACCCAGTAGTGCAATTGCTGGATCGTATGGTAGCTCTATTTTCAACTTTCTGAGGAACCTCCATACTGTTTTCCAGAGTGGTTGCACCAGCTTGCATTCCCACCAACAGTGTAGGAGGGTTCCCCTTTCTCCGCACCCCCGCCAACATCTGTCGTTTCCTGACTTGTTAATTTTAGCCATTCTGACTGGTGTGAGGTGGTATCTCGTTGAGGTTTTGGTTTGGATTTCCCTGATGCCGAGCGATGTTGAGCACTTTTTCATGTGTCTGTTCGCCATTTGGATGTCTTCTTTGCAAAAATGTCTGTTCATGTCTTCTGCCCATTTCTTGATCAGATTATTTGTTCTTTGGGTGTTGAGTTTGATAAGGTCTTTTTAGATTTTGGATACTAGCCCTTTATCTGATATGTCATTTGCAAATATTTTCTCCCATTCTGTCGGCTTTCTTTTGGTTTTGTGGACTGTTTCTTTTGCTGTGCAAATGCTTTTTATCTTGATGAAATCTCAATAGTTCATTTTTGCCCTTGCTTCCTTTGCCTTTGGCGATGTTTGTAGGAAGAAGTTGCTGCGGCTGAGGTTGAAGAGGTTGCTGCCTGTGTTCTCCTTTAGGATGTTGATGGACTCCTGTCTCACGTTTAGGTCTTTCAACCATTTGGAGTCTATTTTTGTGTGTGGTGTAAGGAAATGGTCCAGTTTCATTCTTCTGCATGTGGCCGTCCAATTTTCCCAACACCATTTGTTGAAGAGACTGTCTTTTTGCCATTGGACATTCTTTCCTGCTTTGTCAAAGATGAGTTGACCATAGAGCTGAGGGTCCATTTCTGGGCTCTCGGTTCTGTTCCATTGATCTATGTGTCTGTTTTTGTGCCAGTACCATACTGTCTTGATGATGACAGCTTTGTAATAGAGCTGGAAGTCCGGGATTGTGATGCCGCCAGCTTTGCTTTTCTTTTTCAACGTTCCTCTGGCTATTCGGGGTCTCTTCTGGTTCCATACAAATTTTAGGATTATTTGTTCCATTTCTTTGAAAAAAGTGGATGGTATTTTGATGGGGATTGCATTGAATGTGTAGATTGCTCTAGGTAGCATTGACATCTTCACAATGTTTGTTCTTCCAATCCATGAGCGTGGAATGTTTTTCCATTTCTCTGTGTCTTCCTCAATTTCTTTCATGAGTATTTTATAGTTTTCTGAGTACAGATCCTTTGCCTCTTTGGTTACATTTATTCCTAGGTGTCTTATGGTTTTAGGTGCAATTGTCAATGGGATCGACTCCTTAATTTCTCTCTCTTCTGTCTTGCTGTTGGTGTATAGGAATGCCACTGATGTCTGTGCATTGATTTTATATCCTGCCACTTTACTGAATTCCTGTATGAGTTCTAGCAGTTTTGGGGTGGAGTCTTTTGGGTTTTCCACATACAGTATCATATCATCTGCAAAGAGTGAGAGTTTGACTTCCTCTTTGCCGATTTGGATGCCTTTGATTTCTTTTTGTTGTCTGATTGCTGTGGCTAGGACTTCTAATACTATGTTGAATAGCAGTGGTGATAGTGGACATCCCTGCCGCATTCCTGACCTTAGGGGGAAAGCTCTCAGCTTTTCCCCATTGAGAATGATATTCGCTGTAGGTTTTTCATAGATGGCTCTTATGTCAGGACAACCCTCTTGATTGGTTGATGTTCTTAACCTCCTTTCCCTAGGTTTTAGCTCATAAGAGCCCCCAAACACTTGGTGGCTCCATCTTGACCAAAAACATAACCCAGTTTCTCATCCTGACTTTCTTTTTTTTTTTTTAAAGATTTTATTTATTTATTTGAGAGAGAGAGAGAATGAGAGATAGAGAGCACGAGAGGGAAGAGGGTCAGAGGGACAAGCAGACTCCCTGCTGAGCAAGGAGCCCGATGCGGGACTCGATCCCGGGACTCCAGGATCATGACCTGAGCCGAAGGCAGTCGCTTAACCAACTGAGCCACCCAGGTGCCCTCTCATCCTGACTTTCAAGGCTTTCTGTGGACTCTTCCCAGCCTGATATGCCACCATTTCCTTTGCTGTAGCCAAACTTGTCTGATTATTCCCTAGACATAAGGAAATTCCATCTCCGTCAGTGGCCCGTGTCTCCTTCCTTGCAACATACAAGACAGTGTCTTTCTCGTATCCCCAATGAAAGCTCTGCTGCTGCTGTGCCCACTGAGCTCCTCTCAGAATTCTTGGTGGGAACAGGATGCCATATAACATTTCCAACTGCAGCCTGGGAGTCCTCCCACTTTATCCATCTCAGAGAGAGTCCTTGAGGTATGTGTTTCCCACATGGAGATCTACTCCGGATTCCTACCTGTACCATCCCTACCATTACACATATAAAGACCAGCTGTGAGAACTCAGAATTCTCAGACTTGGCTTCCACCTGAGAAGATAAATCTGAGTATGAGGAAGTAAAATGCAGTAAACAAATAAAAAGCACAAACAACAGAAGAATCACTACAAAACACATTGCATATTTAAGTACAAGTGGTTATTTACCTTTTTGGATTAGCTTAATCTGCACAAAGTATGTGGCCAGTTAATGTTGTGGGTTATGATTGGTGCATGAAAACACTCTGAGGGCAGGTACCTAGTTCACTGTTGTAGCCCCAGTACATTTCACAGGGTCCTTATGACATGGGAGATGCCTTGTAAATTGTTGTCGAATGAATCTTTTCAGTTGTACAAGCCATCGAAGATGTAGGAAGTGAATGGGAAGGATGAGCTTCCATACTGAGAGGTCTGTGACTGGCCAAACTCCAGAACTGGGAGTTCAAAGTTTGCCCCATTGCTCCAAGGTCCAGTAGGAAATGGCCAAATGTCAGCCAGAGGATCAAAGCTGAAGAAGAGAGCAGTTGGGAACTCTGTCTCCTGAAGATTTGCATCTTCACAGAAAGGCAAGGTGAAAAAAATACCTTGGTTCACTATCTCTCCTTTCTCTAGGAACACAGTATTCACCATAGCAAGGGCTCTGTGTTGGAAGAACAATTCTGCCTGGATCTTTGTTCCAGGTGGACTGGGAACTGGAAAGAGATGCTGTGTTTTCTGCATTCTGGTCTCTCTTTGTGGGGTTGTATGCATGGAGCTGGTAGGATATAGTGCTGGCCAGAACAGGAATGTACTATAAAATACTCCTTCACTCTCATCTTCCTTTATCTTGAGCCTTCAATATTGCCATATATGGCCCAGAATAATTTCTGCTTGCCTATATCCCTGTAGAAAAATTAATCTGCTTATCACTCACCTGGGTAAGTAAGTACTCACTTTAACTGATGATTTTATTCGACTCTTTGAACATCATTCCTATGAAAAATATAACTTTTGCTTACTCTGCCTTCCTCTGGTTAAAGTAGAGGGTACAAGAGTTGGTGCTCTTACTTCTACTGCATCTCTGATGCTCTCCTGAATTCTCCTTGGACTACTTGTTCCTCTACAGGATGGATGGAATGGCAGGTAGTTATTATAGTAACAGTTGTCATCATCACCTAAATTCTTTCTTATGCTTATGCAGATAGTATAGATGTATATTCACATATATTTGTGATCCATATATTTTATAGGTGAAGAAAGAGGTGTTCAGAAAGATTAAATGACTAGTCTGAAGATCCATAGATAGTGATTGTGACAAGACTCAAAACCTGGTCTCTGGCTTCAGCTGAGGATGAAGATCAGAGTAAAGGATGTGTTGCTAACTATGGCAGAGATCCCTGGTCCTGGAATCAGTTTGGGTCTTGGTCTTTCCTCCATGTAACTATGACCTTAGTTGAGACTCTTAATCTATAATCATTTCTTTCTTTTATAATATTATTTTAATGTTTTCTTTCACTCTAAAAACTGAGATTGTAGTCGTAGATTCTAGTTCAATCTTGACTTAGAACAGATAATACTTGGGGTACCTGGCTGGCACATTTAGAAGAGCATGTGATTCTCTATCTGGGGGTTGTAAGTTCAAGCCCCATCGTGGGTGTAGAGCTAACTTAAAAAAAAAAAAGAGAGATGGGGACACCTGGGTGGCTCAGTCAGTTAAGCGTCTGCCTTTGGCTCAGGTAATGATCCCAGGATCCTGGGATCGAATCCTGCATTGGGCTCCTTGCTCAGTGGGGAGCCTGCTTCTCCCTCTGCCTGCTGTTCCCCCTGCTTGTGCTTTCTCTCTCTCTCTCTTTCTCTCTGACAAATAAATAAATACATCTTAAAAAAAATCCAGATACTTTTTGCGTCTTACAGATGGAGAAATTGAGGCACAGAGGGACTAACAACATACTCAGTAACTCATGGTGAGTCCTTGTCCAAGGTTCTTTCTGCCACATCCCATTGGTTTTATTGCTATCCCAGTAGGGGTTCCTTCATGAAATGCCACTTTAAAGGTCACTAATTATAAAATGTTGTAACAAAAAAGTCACCTGCCTGAAAATACATAATCGTCTCCTGTGTTCTTTTTGATGCTGATAGTCATGACAAGTTATAGGACTTGAACTAACCTCTTTTAGTAGAGGTTTAGCTCATTTTTCTATTAGGGGAGTATTCCAAAAGCACCTATTTCATAAGGTCATAGTGAGAACTAACACAATGGAGAACACTTAGAACAATGCCTGGAATGAACAATCAACCAATGAATGTGAGCTCTGACTGTTGATAGAGGATTTCCTCACAGAGCTGCCAGCAGGTGTGCAGTCATGTAGGTGTCAGCTTAGAGGAGTAGAACCTAAATGCAAGTTCCTGCCTGGTATATTATTCACACCAGTGTTGACATGGGCAGAGAGTAGGCAGAGGAAGGGCAGAGAAATTCAAGGGCAGGCAGGGGGACTTTTGAAACTGAGCCTTAGCAATATTTGCATCTATTCTGAGAAGAACTCTTTACCCTCAGGAGTTGGCCCATGTCTTCTACTCTGTCATCTACACTTGGGGGCAGCTGGAGGGGCAAACGTCATGCAGGACCTTGCAGAGCCAACCAACAGGAATAGACCTTGAAGTCTTGGGACCCATCTTGTCCACAGGAGAGATGAATGGAGATGACATGGTTCCAGAACCTCCAGTGACTGACTGATAAGAAAGCCAGCCATCACCCTGGCTATCATTTCATTTCATTTTATTTTTTTGTTCCTGGGGACAGCAGTGAGCATCGGCTTCTTCATCACTGTAACATTGAACATGGAGTGGTTGCTACAGAGAACACTGTTAACCTTGTGATAAATTATTAGTCAGCCTGGGGGCCTCTTGCTTCTGTCTGCAGTGGGTGGTGATGAGGAAGAGCATTTATATTTTCCCGTATCCAGTGGCCTTCCCATACAACCCTGTATTGCAGTGCCTAGCCTTCCAGTGGGACTTACTGAACACTGCCACATTATGGTTCTTGACCTAGCTCAGTGCTTTCTGTTGCGTGAAGACCACAACCTACACCCTCCCCATATTCCTCTGGCCAAAACAGAAGGTGTCTGGGTTGGTTCCATGGATGCTGCTTAGTTCTGTGGGACTCTCCAGCTTGAGCACCATCCTATTTTCATAGGCAACCAGAGCTTATATCACTACTTTTTAAGGAGAGGGTTGCAATCTTGGAATGCCACTGGAAATACTATAAGATCATACGAGAAATCCTACTTCTCTTTAAAACTTGTTACCTGGACAGTCTTTATTCTTGTCTTCTTTTTTTTTTTTAAGATTTTATTTATTTATTTGACAGAGAGAGACACAGTGAGAGAGGGAACACAAGTGGGGAAGAGGGAGAAGCAGGCTTCCTGCCGAGCAGGGAGCCCGATGTGGGGCTCGATCCCAGGACCCTGGGATCATGACCCGAGCCGAAGGCAGACGCTTAATGACTGAGCCACCCAGGTGCCTCAACTCTTGTCTCCCTTGTTGGCATGGTTTTGCTCATGTCTCTAGAAAGACACATTAAGAAGGCCCTGCTGTCCATCACGGCTTTTGTGACCCCAGTGCCCAGCCACACATCAAGGTTCTTCTGGCTCTCAACTCCTTTGCTATCCTCTTCACCTCCTATTTTCTGTCACGGTGCTCAGCATTGCAGGTGTTTTTCCATCTTGGAATTTAGGCACTGGGTGTGACAGGCAATGATTTATTTATGCATAGCTGGCCACCCCATCACTGCTCTTGAGCAGCCCCAAGCTGAGAGGTGTGCTGGAGGGGGGCTGCCGTGCACAGTGCTGGGCATCTTGAGTTGCAATTAATGAAAAACCTCAGAGACTCTACTGCAGAGGGCATGGTGCAATGGGACATGGCTTCTTTAAATCTCTTCGCCACTTTTAATGCTCTTCCTCTCTGCTACATTTAATGATGAAGAGAATAACTTCAATGAAATAGGATTTCAAGGTGAGATCGAAGGTCCTGAGATAATGGGCTGGCGTCACTGATTTACACTCAGCAAGCGTGTAGCTAATGCAGCTATGTTCCCTGCGGGACTTGATGTGGCCAAAGAATCAGGAAACTTTTATTTTCCCTGTGGTCAATCTCTTGGAGTTTAAAATTATCCCTTCCTCTCTCTTCTCTCCCCTTCCCCTTCCCTTCCCCTCCCCTTCCTCTTCCCTTCCCTTCCCCTCCCCTCCCCTTCCCCTTTCCTTCCTCTTGCCCTTTCTTCCTCTCCTCTCCTTGTCTTTTCTCTCTCTCTCTCTCTCTCTTTTTTTAAATCACTTCCCTGTTTTCCAGCCGTTTGTTGCAGTGAAGACTTCTGTGCAAGAGTTCCTGGTGTCTGAACTCTCTTCACAGAGCATGGTCAATTTGTGCACGTGTGTGGCAGTATGTATTATCTGGGATTTGTATATTTGCAGATGACCTTTGGAGATCCCTATGAAAGCTAGGGGTTTCTGATTTATATATATTGCTTATGTTCTCTGCAGTAGCCTACTCTCTTAGTTTGTTTTGTGAATGTTAAGGTCCATGAACCCAGAGGTGATTTCTTTTATGCTGATATTGAGACCTACTGAAATTTTTGATGGGGGAGGTTCATCTATATCTGACAAGATTTAAGAAGAAAAGATTTGGGTTTGGTTTGGTGAAGAGTGCAGGCTGCTTTTTTGCCTTCCATAGATTTTCTCAAACCTTTCTTAAGCTCAATGACCTCTTGAACCATTCAAACTGAGGTCCCTAACCTTCCCTCTATTTGCTTTAAAACCTCTAAAGCCTCATCTCCTCTTTTTCATTAGAAGACAGGTTTTCTAGAAGACCTGCTGTCTAGAAGACCGGCTTTTCATGGCTCTCTTTGTTTCTTTCCTGTGCCCTGCTCAGTCAAGGATTCCCACTTCTATGTGGATCTTCAAACTTTCCCTCTTCATTGTCCTTACTTTCCTCAGCAAATGTGCATCTTATCTTCTTTCCTGAAAAAAAAAAATCCCCCAATTCTTTTACCCCCTCAAGTGGCCACTCTGCTAATTAGTCACTTGCCGAGAATCACCCACCACCGCATGACCCCTTACAATCTTCTGCTCCCCCATTCTGTTCAAATGTGTTTCTAAAGGACACGCAGGAGTTCCTAACTTCTAAATGTGATGTTATCCTCAGCCCGCATCTTCTTTTTAAGTTTATTTATTTAAGCAATACTCTACACCCAGTGTAGGGCTCAAACACATGACCCCAAGATCAAGAGTCGCAAGCTCTTCCGACTGAGCCAGCCAGGCACCCTATCAGCCCTCATCTTCTTATGTCTCTATGGTATTTGCTTCTCTTGATAATAAATGATTTCTTTTAAAAAAATACTGATTAACAATACTTTTACAAAAGTAAAACCTGATCTTGATAGAAGATTTTAAAAAAAGGAAAATGAGCACCACTCATAATTGCCTGTCCATAGGTCTTCCTGAAAGTCCTGTGATGCTGCTCTGCTGCTCCTCTTACGTCTTCCTCATACCTGCTCATCCTCCTGCCCCCTGGCTCTGTCCTTAGCCAGCCGTCTTCTTTGTCAGGGGTTCATCTGCTCCTTTTCCTTTTGTGTTACATCTGTTCACATAGCTTCACTTATGACCTTCATGCGAGTAATCAATCATCAGAACTTCGACCTTCCTCAGAACTCCAAACCTCTGTTTTCTTCCACTTTGGGCATCGCCACCTGATAGTACCATGAACATTTCAAATTTAGCGAGTTCTAAATGGTTGTCCTTTCCCCTCTTCCTTTCCCTCCACCAACCCCCTTTACTGCTCAGTTGGATCTATTTCTTCTATTATTTATATCCGGTAAATCAGGCTTACCACCTCTGAGATAATTTTCACTCCCCATCTCTGCTGAGCCCTTGAACCTAATTAGCAGCTTGTCTTCAATTGCTACCTCTGCAGTGTCTCTGTTGTCTGTCCCCTTCTTCCCATTCCTGTGGACTCTGGTTTAGATTAGACTGTCCTCCTCTCTCACTGGGACTGCTAAAATTTCTTCTTCAACACTTGCTCCATTACACTCTCCCCTCCCTCCCAATCAAAACCACCATTACCAGATTCATCTCCTGAAGGCATAACTAACCATTCCACCCACACTCTCACTGCCTCTCAGTGCCTAGAAATGAAGCTTGGGTCCCTAAACCAGGCATTCACAGACCTCCACAATATGGCAATAATTTTATCTTTCTCTGTGTCTGTTCTAGTAAAATAAAATTTTGTAGCAGAATCTGGATTAACCTTGTTCCCAACATACCTGGAGCTTCCTCCCTGGTATACTGAAATGTGCTCTCTTATCCCCCCATCTACCTGTGAAAATTCTATATAATTTTTCCCCCTATTTAACTTTTAAAGGTTAATTCAAATGGCTTCTCTTTAGGGAAGCTTTTCTGGTTTGCTACCTCCCAAGCTTTGCTCTCTCTGACCTTTGAAGACATATAAATGGGGTGTTCCTCAGTCATGAGATGAATTCTGTTTTGTGGTGGAATGATCTATATTCATGTTTTATTCTCCCTAGTATATTTTTAAAGGATTTTATTTATTTATTTTAGAGAGAGAGAGTGTGAGTGGGAAGGGCAGAAGGAGAGGGAGAGGCAGAGAATCCCAAGCAGACTCCGTGCTGAGCATGGCGCTGGACATGGGGCTCAATCTTATGACCCTGAGATCATGACCTGAGCTGAAACCAAGGGTCAGATGCTTAAGCACATGAGCCACCCAGGCACCCCTTCCTAGTATATTTTAAAGTATTTGAAAGCATGGGCTGCCTTGTACTCTTCTATGTGTCCCCTGAAGCACTTATAAATACTTGATACATTGAACAGAATAATTCTATGGCACCTGGAACTCAGCCATAAGCACATGGACTTTTGTCTGTATATTTATTTCCGGGTTACCTACTACATTTTTTATGCTGATGTTTGAGCTGTATTTCCTTTGCTGACTGGCCAGCTTATTTTTGGAGGTCAAACTTATATTCTGTTTCTCTTTGACTAATGCTCAACGTAGAAATAATAAATGGGTAAGTGAGAGAGTAAGATATGCCTGATTTTGTGATGGCTTTACCTTGCTTCTTTCTTGTTCATTTACATGTTGCTAAGCAACTGTGAATGACTAGCTTAGCTCCTTCCTATGGGAATCTCAGTGAAGTGCCACTTCTCTTTGTTACTGACCCAGTCTCTCTTTCCAAAGCATCCTGTATAAGCTAATCTTTGTTTCTTCCTCTTTTCACATTGTTAGCCTAGAAGAACAGAACATCTACTAGAATCTGAATGATCTTCCCACAGGGACTAGTTCTCCTGGAGCTTGAACACACAGGGAAGCATAGAAAAGTAGCAGGGTTTGTTATATTTTTAAAATGCATAGTTAACTTATTATCATTAACTTGCCTGTAGTCTAATTTCATCATGCATTGTGATGATATTAATAATAATAATTACGAATGCCTATTTTATGTGAAGCATAGGGCTAGGAAATTTATTTACTTATATCCCTTATATATTTAATTCTGAAAACAACACTGCAAAGTAGAAACTGAGGCTTAGAGAAGTTTACTGAGGTCTCATGGCCATTGAATGATGGAAGTAGAATACCTTAGTGCTATAGCCTTTAAGACAGTGTGGTATTGATGCAGGGATAGATAAATGCATCAATACATAGTCCAGATAATAGTTACATGGAAAATTATATATGATAAGTAAGGCATCTTAAATCAGTGAGGGAAAAAATGGTCTTTTCATAGTGTTGTAGTATATTGATACTACAGTTGGAAAAACAAAAATATAGTTAGAGCCAATATTTTATCCTAAATTGCAGACAGATTATTTTAGTCTGAATGTTATTTAATTTTTTAAAACCTCCCTTTTTTTGATAACTCAATTTTTCCTATATTTTGTTTCATGAAATATTGCCTTTAAATGTTACAGAAATGTTGACTGTTCTTTCCCCCACATTTTTGTTTTTGTTTTTTAAAGGATTTATTTTTTTTAAAGATTTTATTTATTTATTTGTCAGAGAGCGAGAGAGGAAAAAAGCATAAGCAGGGGGAGCAGCAGAGGCACAGGGAGAGAAGCAGGCTTCCTGCAGAGCTAGGAGCCTGATGTGGGACTCGGCCCCACGACACTGGGGTCATGACCTGAGCCGAAGGCAGACGCTTAATCAACTGAGCCAACCAGGCATCCCTCTCACCTACCTTTTTGGATGACATTGTAGAATATGTATATGCCTTCAGCTTCCATAATCTGAAAAGCCCTGTTTTCTTAGGCCTTCTTCTTCTCTCTCTCTCTCTTTTTTTTTTTAGATTTATTTATTTATTTTAGAGAGAGACAGAGTGCACAAGCAGGGGAAGGGGCAGAGGGAGAGAGAGAGAATTCTCAAGCAGACTCTCCACTGAGTGTGATGGGGGCTTGATCCTAGGACCTAGGATCAAGGATCCTAGACTCTCCACTGAGTGTGATGTGGGGCTTGATCCTAGGACCCTGAGATCATGACCTGAGCTGAAATCAAGAGTCAGATGCTTAACCGACTGAGCCACCTAGGTGCCCCAACATCTAAAACTTTTAATGAAAAGATTCTATAAATGTAAGGATCACCAAAGTCCTTTTCAATTTCAAAGGACAAATAACAGATTGCCAGAAAATATTTACAAACATTTTTTTTTTTTCCGATGGGATAAGATATTTACTTGAATTTGTACAGCAAATAAGTGCAGACTAACAAATATGAACCCAGGTCTGTTTGCATACGAAAAACAAATACATGTTTACTGTAGAAAAAATGAGAAGGTCACATAAACACTAAACTCC